GTAGTATGGCATCTTCATTCCCAAAGTAGGATACTCCATATGCAAGGTCTTGTCTCTGCCGAGCGTGAGAATCATATCGTACCAGTGCTTCGCCGAGAGTACGTCTCGGTGAAATGGACTGGCCCGGTTGGCAATCACCGATAAGGCGTTGAATGGTGTGTTCCATATCTCGGCGATGCTAGCGTGGTCCGGGTCGTTGCACAGTGCATTGATCGACGCCACGCCACTTGAATAGAGGTCCGGATGGATTATCTCGAGCATCGCCGAGAGGATGATATGGGGGTGCTCCATCACCGAGAGCCACGGTTGGGCGAGCGAGGTCGGTTCCCTCAACAGCCGCGATACCTGGGGTGGACCTGTAGTACCCTGTTGCGGATTAATACAACATATGATGATCAGTACGCCACGGATGCGCACCGTATGACCCTGCTGAAACCAGCCGGGCGAGGCAGATAAGCATGACGGCGGGAAGATTGGACATTCATCCGCATTGCGGTAGTTGTTGATATCTTGTCTGCACTTCTCGGTGGTGGTGGGGGGTAGCGGAGGAACAGTGATTCCAGTTGACCTGCGGTGTCCCATATGAACTGCTGCTTGATTGTTAACAACCGGTGTGATGTCTGCCTGGCGACCTCGCATACCTGGTAGTACGGTGTGATTACGCCGGGGAGATGCCACAAAAGAATCCGGCCGGCACTATCTTCGATGGCCGCAGGCTCCTTGCACGCCTTGTACTGTACGTTCTCGGCTTCTTCATCGCTCGGTGTTGTCATCGGATAAGTCAATGTGTCCCATTCAACGCTCCCTCCAAGTGGAGTGTTAGCCAAGCTTACGATGGCGGTCAATGGAAGCTCACTTTGGTTACAATAAGCCTGAGCCAACATCTTGCCAGCATTTGTCGCCTGGCGTATCATATACACATCCAGGAAGAGTCCCGGAAGTGGCTCGGGCTTCATCGACTGGCCCTCCTGCATGTGAGACAGCCAGTGTAAATATGTCCCCTTCAGGTAGGAACGAAATTGGGTGCTGATCTGTGCGGTAGTCATGTTGGAGAGTGGGGGGGGATTGGAGAAGAGTTGTGCGACAAGTGTGCACAATGTGGAGGACCTGATGGGCAACATGTGGTGACCATGTGTTTGCCACATGTTTGTAGGCATGTGATATTGTCAGTGCTCAAGTGACCCCGGCTAGGTGCTGGTTCATGCATGCACCATCTCATTTGATGTCACATTGTCTGGATGATTGCCCTTGACAATTCTGGTGCCAATTTGGCCAGCAGGATCATTGATATGAGCCCCAGCTGGACCGTAGGAAGCCTATTTTTTTCGAGGCCTCTGGCCGGGTCGTTCACCTGAGGTCCGGCCGGAATGTTACACCACAGGCCGGCCGGACCATTCCTAACCACCACCCTCCCTCCGGCCGGTTTGTTGCTGCCGGCGGCTGCTCCGAACGGTGGACCCGGAGTGCTCTGGCCGAGCCCGGGTCCACCGTTCGAAACGGGCCAAATGCACTCCGGGTGGACCGTTCGAAACGTGATTTCCCACTCATTAGGCTCCTCTATTGCCTGCCCACACTGTTGTTCTCACCCGCTTGCCCTCCTTGATGAGCTTTCTGCCCTTCCTTTGCCTCTGTTCTGTACAGTCTGCTAGGAAGTTGTCTGCTTGCCTGCTCGTTCACCCGTTTGTGTGCCCCCTTCATCAGGAAAACCAGATCTGACTTGGGCGGCATTACAAGAGATACTCATCATGTGCAAGGCTTCCAAGACACCCACAGAGACTTTACAGGCATGAAAGGCAGCCAAAAGACCGCAAAGGCGCAGAAGTCTCTATGTATGCCTTTACTGCTTTTCTGTGAAGGCACTCATAGTACAGCTACCTTTGTACAATGACCAATACACGTATACGGTATCACTTCTGCTTTTCTGACTCTTCACAAGTCCAATTACTAAAATAATACTATGGTACATCTGTGCCAGGGTCCTGCAATGTTATATAGCCATACATCACTCCTGCTAGCTCATGGCCATGACACTAACACTATTGTCAAGTGCCTGGTGGTTGGCAGCTGTTGCTTGTCCATGTGAAGTCCACAGGTCCACGGGTACTGACATATACTAGTAAACTGGTCCATTGGCAAGTGGGCACAGACATTGCAAGGGTGAGCGGGTTGCTACTAGCTGGCAGAGTGGAGGGCGCATGCAAGGATGCAGGCGAGAGAACACAAGACATCACATGGGTGAGCGAGACGGTGAGACAGCAAACGGAGGAAGGGATACGGAGAACAATAACGGAAGACTGGAGATGTTAGTAACCGGAGTGAATACAATAAGCTAATTGTCCGTGCAAGATAGAGACCATGTGGTACACTAATTGTAATGTGGGAGAAGATAGGCTAAGCAAATACAATAAAATCGGAGTTCAGAGAAACAGAGATGGAGAGAACGGAACTGGAGTTCGGAGATGGTCTTGGTGGCATGGAACATGACAGTGCCTCCATCAAACCCTTGAGATCCATTGACCCGGATCTGAGATCTGACCAAATAAAAGGCTGCAAAATCTCGGAGTCCACATCTTCCCATCTTGACTTCCTTCCACTACCATCCCCTCACCACTCCCGTACTCCATTACCCCCACCATGTCCGGCCCACAACCCCAACAATGCCACCAACAACAATGAGGAGGTGGAGCAGAGGCTCAACACGGCAAAGGCCACAAAGGAGGCGCAACGTCGCGCGGAGGCCGAGGCGAAGGAGAAGGCAGAGGCCGAGGCAAAGGTGCGTGCGGAAGTGGAGGAGCGGGAGCGGAAGGAGGCAGAGGAGCGTGCTAAGCACATCGAGGCGGAGCAGAGGACGAGTGCGGCGGCGGAGGAGAAGGCTGTGGAGGAAAGAGGGCAGAGGAGTTGAAGAAGGCGCAGACGGAGAAGCAGAAGGCGACAGAGGAGCCAGAGTCGTCTGGAGTGATCCAGTGAGTACCCAATGCCATGGTCTGGAATTTGGAGCTAAGGGAAAACAGCACAGAGTGCGACCAGTGCCAGGTCAATGGCCTGGACTGCATCTTCGAGAACATGGGACGCAAGAAGTCCTGCGTTGCATGCCAGCGCAACAAGGTGGCATGCAAGGGTTTGATGGAGAAGCCGGAGATGACTCGGAAGAGGACGAAGAAGACCGAAGAGTCAGAGCTGAAGAAGAGGTCGGCAAAAAAGTCGAAGTCTGTGGTTGTGGACTCCGACGTGGAGATGATGCCGGAGCCGGAGGCCGGATCCTCCAAGAAGATGGCCGTGGCTCAGGAGTATGAGATGCTCCTGAGCGATGGTCGTCGGATCTGGCAGCGGGACTCGAGCTCCGGGATGACGAGCACGGAGTTGCTCGAGGCCCTCCTGGTGGAGGTCCAGGGACTCCGTCGCAAAGTCCGGGAGGCGCGGACGGAGTGGAAGAAGGAGTCGTATCGGAGGGAGAGGGTGGTCGCCCACCACTTTGCGGGAATGGTGGAGCGGCTGGAGAAGATCACGGAGCCGGAGAAGCTCCAGAAGATGGAGGAGGAGGAAGCGGAGTCGTCGGACTCCAACAGCGAGTACGACCCCGAGAACGAGGAGAGGTCGGGTAGGGAGGACGAGTAGAATACGGGCACAGCCCAATTATTTTCTTTTCTTTCTTTTCTCCAATGTAACTCCGGTGTGGTCCTGTCCGTAAGAAATGCAACGGAGTCGGAGACTACGGAAGTGAGGCTAAAGGTCCGGGTTTCGTTGGATATGTGGTGTGAAAGTCTGAGACGAGCTCCGCAGCGTGTTCGAGTTCCGTGGCAAGAATCCAGGAGGTTTCCTCGTCAGTTCCTTCATAACCAGCCCAGTGTACATAGTATAATAACTGGTAGGCATGACATTGACGGTCAATCTTGGAGTCCAGGATTTCGGAGATCTCGAACTCCGGTTCTCCGTCGATAAGGACTGGCGGAGGTGGAGACTGAACCCGTCCTAGTATGGTGTTCGGAGTTGCGGGCTCGAGCTGTGAGACGTGGAAGACTGGGTGAACAGCACACATAGTATCCGGATGAAGGAATGTGAACCGGCTTGGGCAATGATGGTATAAGGTCCTAGGTTCTTTTCGGAGAACTTCTTTGCGGGACACGTGGAGCGGAAATGTGTGGCTTTGACGAAGATGGTATCTCCGACCTTAAAATCCGGAGCTGGAAGACGGTGTTTGTCCGCTTGGACCTGGTACCGGGCTTGGGCCTGAATGATATTCGTCCAGAGTAAGGTATGGAGTTCGTCTAAGTTGACGACGAACTCGCGTGCACGCGGAAGTGAGATCAGGGATGAACAGCGAGGGCCGGATTGTAACCCTTGTTGGCAAAGAAATAAGACTATCCCTTTGGGAGACTTGCTTGTTGCATTGAAATGTGCTACTCTAGATTGTGGAACATTGTGGGGAAAGCATATTGGCTTCAGGAAGTGAACACAGTATGACATGTATACCCATACACCCTTGCCTTAACTCTGTACTCCATTCAGCTTATGTGAGTAAGACTGTTCCTTTGGAGGATTCACTCCCTATGGGTAAATGAACCATCAGAGGTTGTGAAACATTGTTTTGAATGTAGATTGGCTGCAGGGAGTCAACATTGTGTGACATGGTACCCAACCTCTATACCCCTTATCTCATGTTCTGCATTCAGCTTCAAAGAATAAGACTATTCCTGTTGGGGATATACTCTATGCATTGAAACAACACATCCTAGATAGTCAAACAGTGTGGGAAAAGAAAACTGGCTTCAGAAATTGATTAACTTGTTGTGCAAAGAAGCCTGTGAGTAAATCTTGTTTTGCACATCCTGGCCTAACTAGACATCTTTGGTCACTAGGGAATTGATACTATAGTCTATCAATGAAGTACTACCAGTCAATACCAAATTTCCTTATATAGCAATCTGACAGCCTGGCTGTTTTCACCGAGCTTTGGCCAAATCTTCGGCCCAAGAGAATTGTCAACTTCTCGGCCTGAGACAATGCTTGCCCGGTCGGTGAAGCAAAAGCTCAGCCCAGAAATGTCTGGCTGCTTTGGCCGAGTTTTGGCTGTACCCTCGGCCCGAGACATTGTGTTTTTGGCCAGCAAAAAGTCTGGCCGGACCATTTGTAGCGGTGCCAGCTGGCTCGTTTGCAATGCTATATCTATTGACCGGCCAGACTGTTTGCAGCGTGGACTGCCTGGCCACTTTGAATTCTGCCTGCTCCGGCCACAACATTGGGAACAAGGGATGACCGGCCGGCATACCCTCCGGCCGGAGCATTGCAACATTGGGTGAAAGAGGCCGGGTGGATCATTGAGAAGTGGGGGGGGCAGTCGGGGTGTAGTCCGGCCGGAGCGTTGCAACGTACTGTGAAAACAGGCCGGGTGGATCATTGGGGACAGTATTGAGGGATGGCGAGGCTGGCCGCAACATTGGAGACGGGGCAGAGCCAGCCGGCATGCACTCCGGCTGGATCACTGGCAACGACAATGTCTGCAACGTGGACCCGGACCCTCCAGCCGGTGCCGGCTGCAACGTTCGAGATGGGTGAATCTCACTCTGGTTTTAACATTTGGAATGTGTTAGACACACTAAATAATGTGGAGTTGCGACCAGTTGTCCTGCTGGTAGTTGCAGTAGACCTGGATGTACTGTTCCAGGGTCTGGTTCACTCGTTTGGTTTGGCTATCGCCTTCCAGATGATAACTGGAGGTGAAGTGAAGGCACATATCTAGGGCTTTGCCAAGTGAGCGGAAGAAGTGGGACACAAACTCCGAGCCCCAATCGGAGGTGACGTGCAAAGCAACTCCGTGCTTGGAGAATACATGGAGCACGAAGAGGTCCGCGAGTTCTGGAGTGGTGAGGGTATCATGCGTAGGTATGAAAATGGATTGCTTGGTGAGGCGGTCGACTACGACGAGGATGGCGGTGAAACCATCAGAGTCCGGAAGCTGCTCAATGAGATCCATGGAGATGGAGTTCCAGGGTCGCTCGGGGATCGGGAGTTGTTTGAGCATGCCATAGGGAAGGTGACGGGGAACTTTGGCTTGTGCACAGATGGTACAGGACTTGCAGTAGTCTCTGACAAAGAGGTGGAGTCCAGGCCAGGAGTAGTCCCGGAGTACTCATGAGGGCTTGCTACTCATGAGGGCTTGCGTCTTGTTCTGACCGTAGTGTCCAGCGGTCGGATGGTCATGACGGGATTGGAGTACCCGGAGATGGAGATCGTCCACGTCCGGTATGTAGATGTGACCACTAAGATGCAGGAAGCCTTCTTTGTCAATGGACCAGCGTGCATTGTCGCCCTGAGAGGCCAGAGCGAGTCCGGCAGCGAGCTCGGAGTTAGGGGAGGGAATGGACTGGGCAGTCCGGATGTCGGAATGAAGTAGATGTTCGTCGTGGATGAGGGATGCGCGGAGGACTGGATCTCAGAGAATGCATCTGGAAAACACAGTTGGGGCCATAGCACTCACCAAAGCTACATTGCCATAATAGGTAGTATTGTGGCTGTAGGTGTCAGCGTCTACTATCTGCTCGTCCATAGTACAATGTAGGAGTGCATAGGTAGATTATATGGGTCAATAGCTGTACCATGTCAAATATGAGGAAGATTACCACTATAGTAATTATAGTTTACAGTGTGTTGGTGTAGTGATGATAGTCAACATTGCATCTGTATGTTTGTTGAAGCTCCCAGACTTGAGCCCGGATGACACTCGTCAGTCGGACATTGTCGCGCCAGCCAATCATGCACCTGGAAACATTGGTTCCAATTACCAACAGAGGCGATGCAAGAAACTATTAAGATAAGCCATACAAACAGTACACAGTCATGTTTCCCTACTACTAAGTGAATTTAGCTAGATTGGTTCGTCCTGAGATCAACTGAGATGTATGAGTTCACACAGAACTCCATCACGACGTCGAGCGCATTATCCTTGGTGAGCTCTCTGCTAATCTTCCTACCATATCTCGGAATCGAATGGGCGGCGCCGCGGATTTTGTCGAGACTGATGGTACTCGCATTAGGCTTGCCATTGCAAGTGGATCGAGAGACCAAGTACAGATTGGTCTCTAGATCCTTGCACCGTAGTGGGGTGTACCACTCGACGTATGCAAGAGGGTGTGGCAGTGATCTGAACTGCTTTGGAAGGTTGAATATAACGTCGACACGCGCGACTCTCGTGCCGGCATGTTCTTGCGGAATCAATAGTTATCCTTTGCTCCATGTGCAACAATACTCACCAATGACAGACCGTGGGTCTCGTGGTCCATCAATTGGGATGTCTGCGTCGATAATGAAGGCGGTGTCGAAATGCGCCGGCGTCGGTCACTTTCTGACCTCTCCCTGGGTTGGCCGCGACTGTTTGAATACGGTCTGTATGCTCTGGTACGTCACTGTGGGGATCACCGGGATAGCTGACTGACACCGCCTTGAAGACATCGTACTGGTCCATGTGATTCGGCTCCAGCTGGCACTGAGGCAGCTCAGAACGAACAAAATCTGTCAGCGCAGGCAAGAACTTGCTTGCTCTGTGCTCATGTTGCAGGTGGTTCAGGGACCGGTTGGGAAGGGGGCTGTGCATCGCAACCTTGTACGTGTGTGCACCCTTGGTCAGATCATCATCATCTAGGAGCATTGGTGAGTTGGCGTTGTCTTCTGGCTCGTCTTCAGACACTGACTTGGTGTTGGACTAGGTGTCATCTGTTTGATTGACCGTGTCTTCAGCGGGCAGCACATGGAACCACACGATGTATGCGGTATGCAAGTCAACGGCCTCCTGGCGAGCAAGCCAGGTGACCATCTGGTGTAGTCGTGATGGCTGCTCGCACGGTAAGTGTTCTTTGCAAGTTCGATGTGCAGGTGCTCAGGTAGTTCGGTGTTGTATCCGTTGCAGGAGCCATGGGACCAAATCACCTCAACGTAATGGAGAAGCAAGTGGGATATTGAAGTGCTCTCAGATCCCCAACTTGATGAAGGCTTCTTTGTGGCGATGGAAGGTGTCGAGGGCCGTCTGCAGGTGAGCGAGCGATCTGTCATTGTGTGGCTGAAATTGCGCATAATAGATGAAGTCTATGAGTGCGCGCGCAACAGTGAGGACCTCGGCAGACACAGCACTGGCCAGGAGCCCTATGAAGATGCGCTGCATCTCCTTATGCTCCTTTCCGGTCCATTGTGAGATGTGCGAAATGCCATTGCGGAAGTGTCGAAGTCCTGGGAAATCTGTCATCGCGCAGAAGCGACGGTCGAGCTCGTCCTTGCCCACAATTGTTGAACATGTTGAACACCACGACAGTAATGTTGAAGTGAAAGAGGTTTAGAAGGGCTTGTTAGGCCAGTGGAAGTGAAGGACAGTAGAGTGGAGTGAACAGACCTATCCCAGAGGGAAGACTCTGATGCTAGGCAGGCAGAAGAGAGGAGAGATCGTTATCCATTAGGGGGGAATCACCCCAGTATATATACATGTCTGGGACTGATCACATGCTATATCAGTAAGCAGATCAGTAATCACTAAGTCCGAGTTTTAGGGAAATGAGTAAGCCTTAACTCCAGAGATAGGGATATGCATAAGTGTCCATGTGATCAAGGAATGTACTGGAAGGTCATGGAACATGCCGGAAGGGAGTGGAATGATCCAGAATAAGTCTGGAACAGTGTAGATCGGTCTGGAGCGAGTCACAAGATGAGTCCAGACAGAGTCCATCAAAAGAATGTATGTAATACTACATCACAGAACACAAGTCCATATATGTACGTCTGATAAGATAAGATAACACTGGAAAGTCGGAAGTTCAACAAGTAAGTGGTCCTTGAATACTCCCTTGTGGAGCTGATGGAGAATGACAGGCATAATTGATGCGAAGATGTCGCAATGGGGGAGGTCGGCCCAGAAGGGGTCGTAGATGGGTCGCAGCTGCTTGGCAGTGAAGTGTGGTGAGTCTTTTCCCTTCTTGTGATCTTGAAGTGCTTCGTTCGTCTTATTGACGTCACGTGGTTCACTGTAAAGCTGCTTGCCATGTCAGGGAGGAGGTACGGTGCAGCGCGGACAGCTGTTCTCCTTACAACAGCAGACAAGGCACTGTTTGGGATAATCAGCGATGTACACCGCAACAATCGGGTGGACCATTCGGACACCACGGTCAGCACACATCATTTTCTTCCCATCGACACCCGCCTTGCGAAGGGACACCAAGATGTTTGACATACAATGATGAAACAGTCGATACCCAGCAAGGCTGCACGTGGAGTCCTCAAAGCAATCGAGCTTTGAGACAGGTATGTAGCCAAGAAGGAGTGTCGCGCACTGTGAAGGCTGACGCCTTACTGATTTCGAGATGTTCCCAATGGACAGGTAGACAGGCCATGCCTTCTTATCTCCACCAAAGTCCGTAAGCTTCGTTCACGAGGATGACGGGTGCAATGGTTGCGCCTGCACCTTTCCCTATGTCATGGCCATGGTGAGTCGTCTTCTCGCACGGAATTACTGTCATTGTCCTGACATACCTGCGTCTTCCACCACCATTCGGCTGTCCACATCTCATCATACCGATGTCTGGTGGCTGTGTCCTCGGTATAGACTCTCTCAGGTGCGTAGGCGATGTTCCCGTCGAATGTGTGGTTTCCAATGAGCTCCTCGACACACTCCACAGGATCACGCCTCCAAAGCTCCAGCTCTTCCTTCATAAAGCTTCCGTCTTTGCCAATACAATCACCTCGTACTTTGACTACCTCGCAGTGCCAAGCAGCTCCTGTAGGTAAGTCGTCAATTTGCTGGAAGAATTTGTACTTCCAGTTGGCTGATAGATCACAGTTTCTTTGTATCTACAAGACTCGGAGATCAGTTGATGTTTGCAAATGTGAGTTATACGGGGCTGTGGTATGTACAATCTTGAATTGAGAGCTTGAGGAACTCGTCAATCCTGTTCTGACCAACATGCTTGATCAACCACCAAAACAGTTCCCATTCTTCTTCGTCTTTGAACAGCGCCCATTCGTTGGCTTTGGCCTTGGTTCACATTTGACACCATGCCTCGAAGAGTGTGTCATCGTATTTGATGATTGTTGCGATGACACCTGGGTACTTCTCAATGTATCATCAAGCCTCCTCTTCGTCCTCTGGTATGTCCTCAACCCGTGTCCGATATGGCGACTGTGTGCCATCCATAGGGTTTGTCAACACTCATGTGCACATCAACAGGTCCTTGTTCATGCTCCATATCTTCTTGGTCCAATACCACCTCGGCAGACTCGGATGCAGACGCAGCAATGACAGCAGCAGGAGCAGTGGGAGCTTTTCCTGAAGCAATGGCTTGGGCAACCCATGCCAGTTGGTGCTCCCATTTACGGCGACAGTGTGGTGAGTTCTGTATGTGTACCCTGACACCTTTCGTAGTAGGTACACGATGTTCGCAATAACCACAGCGAGGCATAACTGTGTAGTATCAGAGTTCCTGGGCACGAAGTAGCAAGCTCGCAAATGACAAGGTCGGGCAAGGCGTAGCAATGAAGCTCTCAATTCAAACGGTCGGCCATCACAATCAAGTCATTTGTCAGCAGACTAGCAAGGTGAGTGTCGCGTGGCTTCTCACATTCCCACTCCGAGTCTCACACACTCTGCCAGCACACCGACACAGTGCTCTTCCTCCGTCACATCCCCTTTTTTCTCAAATCCTCGCACTCATTCATTCATGCTGTAATGTCCCCCAGGAACGAGGTGAACACTGCATCTGACGAGCTGCAGAGGCGCGCCCGTCGCCCATCTGAGAAACAGTGCCAGCTCGATATGTCGTCAGGACCCCTCTGCAAACTTTCTTTATCTTGGAGCCAATATTGATCATTTATTAGATGAGGCCGAAGAAGCAACACAGAGTGGCAAGGCACAGAAGCGGGCTGCAGTTGAGCCTCCGATAGCAGAACACCTGCAGCGAAGCTGAGGAAGAAGCGAGGGGGTGTGTGTCCCGTGATGATGAGACACCAACTGTACGAGGCTCTCTCTCTCTTATACCTGGATCAACTCTGACTGTCCTTTGCATGCGGTGCAGTTCACTATGCAGACTTTCATCAGCTCGAAGCCCAAGTCAGTGCCCTTCAAGAATCTCACGGTACGCATAGGCAAGGTTCCGCCACCCACAGCTCAGAAGACGACCTATTGGTGTTCCAAACCTCCTCAGGCTCCTTCTCAGAAGGCTGCGCCAAGATGTTCTGAGCCGTGATTGGTGACTCCCAGACCTCAGAGGAGCACACCTTGGTCAGAACACAACTTAGGTAAGTCCGGGCCACTCATGTTCTATCTAAAGATCCTACACTCCTTCCTATGCTAGACAACACTCGGGCCATCACACCACAGAGCCATCGTTCCCAGGTTAGTTCACGGATGCCTCAGGACCATCATTCCCAGATTGTCTCACGCACACCACGATCAAGTGGTAAGTTCAGCAGTGCACGCGGCACCATTTGTATGTCATATGTTTTATGCTGACATGTTCTCCCTGTATTTAGCACGTCCTCGCAACACCGGACGGTGTGTTGTCGACTCAAGCGATGACAAAGATCACGCTTCACGCAGGTCCACAGTCGATACAGGCAGCAATGCCGATGCACTTGATGGTGTTCAGCACTACGAAGACAATGGTGGTCAGCACTACAAAGACAATGGTGGTCAGAACTATGAAGATGATGGTGTTGAGCACTATGAAGACAACGGCAACAACAGTGATGAGAACCTAAATCAGGGATATGAAGAAGTGATGTGATCTTCTCCACAAGCCATGCGTGATTCTCAAGAGAGATCCTCGAGTTGTGACAAGTCGCCAGATGCTGAACCACAGAGACTTGGAGACGCCTCACGTTCGGATGCTGAAGAAGGCGGTGGGAATGACTCAGATGCAACAGATGACAGTACGTGTATGCATGTTTTTGTGTCTTTGTGATGCACTAACTGCCAATTTTGTGATCTAATCAGGTACTAGTTGTTGATTGCCCCAAACCCATTCACATGCCTTCCCGGCATGGACCTCGTGCTAAGGACTACAATGAGGATGTACAGGACATCCTTGATGTTGCTAACTCATTGTTCCGATGCAGGATCACCACCATCAATGCTTTCCCATCCAACTCAGTTCAAGACAAGTAGGCGCAGCAGTGCTGGGGCAAAGCTTGTAGGAAGCTCAACATTAGATATGCAGTGAACCGGGCCATGATAAAGATTGTAAGCCGGTTGTGCAATTGATCTTGTCATATCACTGATGATCATACTCGAGATCACTGCGCGCGGAGCACAGCTCCGTGGCGAGCTCAAGAACAAGGTGAAGCCACTTGTCAAGTGTCTTTACGGCTTCGGTGATGGCTCTGCAAAGAGAGATATGCGCAAGAATCGAGAGAAAGCAAGTGCACTGACACATGAGTCAGCTTTTGCATACAAGGTGCAGAAGTTACTGTTCACCTCACTGACCCATATGAGCTATCTATTCATGAATTTGAGCTCATTCTACAGGATCCAGCCCTTAACCAGCCCGAAGGTACATACACAGAGCGCAAGGGCATATACCGCCATCCGATCATACAGAAGGCTATCAATGCAACATGGTTCGCGAATAGGGCTGATGAAGGTGTCGTCTTTGAGCAATACTTCGAGCCAGTGATTTCTCTTCCGACAATTGCACTCATTCTTATGGCGGTATGTGTCCGCTTTCTGTGCGACGATGACATATTGAATTGTCTACTAGGTTCATTGCTGCATTGACAAGTGGGGAACTGGGAAGCAGACCCCAGTAAACTTCACCGAGAACGACTACAAGGCAGTGCACTTACCGGACCCACTGGAAGAATCTTCATGCTTTCGATGAGCTGTGCGATGATGCGCACCTCTTGCTGCTTAAGCTCCGCAAGCAGCTTTATGCAGAAGCTAGGTAATATTTTCATGATACATTCTCGTTCTTGTGCGCATCTCCTCATATTTGTGCTGCAGGTTCCATTTGGGAGCAGTCTGCAGAAGACATTGATCAGTCCTTCATGCCTCCAGCAGGTGTTGTTGGTGTCTGCTGTCGTCAACGATGGTGTCAATGGTGAATGAATTGACCCTGATTGGGTTCTTGGTAGGCCCCTCTCTCGCTGAATTATGTACACTCTTTGCTGATGAACGTGTCCGACTAGCCCTTGGACAGTGCACATACTTACTAGTATTACTTTCCCTTCCCCTAATCAACACCATCCTCCGTACTTCGTGCACTGATTATCTCGTGGATGGGACATTATCCAGTACTTTACTTACTATCCTTCATTAGTGATCATACCCTTGTTGTAACAAACATCAGTCTGTGTCATCACAGTTACCGACTTCCACTCACTACTAGTACACCAAGCAGAGTCGCCGACAGGCTGGAATTCCAGCCTCTCAACGACTCCAGTCAGTCCAAAGGGGTTTTGGAGCACTCCCATTGGCTGGAATGCTGACAAAGATTTCATTTTCAAGTCATCTTTCAATCCCAGCTCTTCATGCCGAGTTTTGTGATGGCTTCAAGCCACACTAACTGAGCTCTTACTAGGGACCCATTAAATGCGATAAAATGCCAAAATATTACTCCTCCATGGGATGCTCCTTGTATGGATGGGAGTGCCCAGAACAGGTATCATTGAGAGTACTGACCACTTGCTGGGGAGTGGGCCATGTATGGCAATACGATCCCAGTTGTGTTGTCTGTGTCTTGTGTTTTCTGGTTCATCAAATTATCACTTCAATCTCATTTATCAATGTATATGTATTATGTATCAATACATACTAGTCTGTGAGACTAACTTCTGTGCTTGACTAGACCAAGCAGTTGTCAAGCTTTAACAATAATTGTTACGATCGTGCGCTCGAGACGAAGTCCGAGGTTGGAGTTACGAAGTCCGGAGTTTCGGAGCGCAGTGGAATGAGGACTTGGCGAAGCTATTAACTACGCCCTTGGGAGAACTCGACGAGGTCCTCTATTTGGACTTGGACGGAGGTATGACGGAGTCCGGAGATAGAGTCAGAGGAAGGAGGAGGAGAAGACGACAGCGAGAGAGAGAAGAGAGAAGCTAGACAGAGGTCGGACGGAAGTCCGGAGTTCAGACAGGAGTTCGGAGGGAAGGAATTCGGATTGGTTAAACGAGATATTCGAACTGAAGTACAGCAGTGCTACAGTTTGATCTTTATATACAGCGAGTCTAATTGTGAACGGAAGACAATAAGACGGAGGAAGGGATACGGAGAACAATAACGGAAGACCGGAGATGTTAGTAACCGGAGTGAATACAATAAGCTAATTGTCCGTGCAAGATAGAGACCATGCGGTACACTAATTGTAATGTGGGAGAACATAGACTAAGCGAATACAATAAGCCCGGAGTTTGGAGAAACGGAGACGGAGAAAACGGAACTGGAGTTTGGAGGTGGTCTTGGTGGCACGGAACGTGACAATAATACTAACCTTGCACCAGCCAAATTTTATTCATCAGGGAGTATCATAGTAGTAACAGAGATGTTTACATTCATATGGCTCAGCTCATCATCCTTAATGTGGTAACACAAATCCTGAGTCCTAAGTGTCCTAGACAATCCATAACCTTTCCAAAAAAAAAGTATTGATTCCAGGTAGCTATGCCAATATTGCTATACAGCCATTACCCAATGATATGTGCAGTTGCACAGTTGCTCTTGCCTAACTGTAGCTAAGCTGTCCTGTTATACCATGTCGATATAATGTACTGTCTCAAACACACTATACTGGCCTAGACCTTCCCAATGTCAAAGTCTGTTCAGGTTAAGTTTGGTACATTCATGATCCTTGTTCCTGAATTTTAGCTCATGCTGTGGAAAAACAGTCAGTCACATGGTCAAGATACAGTATACTGGAATTCTCATCTGTATTCCTCCTCATCACTTGTCCCAACACCATTCCATAGCACGTCTCTGTCACTACAGACATATGTAACAAGTTACTAGCAACAATCTGACCCAGACATTGTTACAAATATTCAATGGAGAGCAAGAACCTGTAAATAAGAATTATATCATCAACATCACTGTTTTTTTCTTGCACAATAGCAGGCAGTCTGCATAAGTCTTTCACTCCTTCAGATGGATCAGCTGTAGTCCAGAGCTTTGGGTGAGCAAAATGACCACATATGTCATTCATTACTTCATTGATTTTCTGGAGTTTGGGATTTCTTTCTGAGCCTACACAAGGAGGTTAAGTGGCCTCAAAATGAATATCCTGCACATGTTCATGCTTTGTTCCATATGAAGGCTATGGAAATTATGAGGAGGTCTGTGAAGAAGCTATCACACAATCATGATTACTACTTCATATGGCAGGTGCCCTCCCAATTGGCAATCTCACACTGGGCAATGCTTTATGGGCCTAGGCAGCATACATGCATTATATGTGTACTGTGTCCTGTTCTTGAAATGCTATTGTGAGGCATTAAGAGTTGCTGATGCTCCTTCTCATGGATCTCAGTGCTTTATGTGACCCATTTTGCATCTTTCCATAGTTGTAGGCATTTGAAAACTTCTCAACTGTGCTCTCTGTCTGTATCAATGACAATCAGCACAGTATGCATTCCTACACTCATTGGCACAGGGTGCTATGTAATGCAATTGCTGGGGAAAATAGTAGACCCACTCTGGTGTGATGGTGAGTATATCAGACATATTGGGAGCACACACATGGCTGTGTCTAGTAATATTGTTAGATGTGCATACTCTCACTTGTCAGGCTACATATGTACTGGATACCTCAATGTCATACTGTCTGAATCCTCAAACATTAAACATTGTGCTCTCATCTTGAGCATTGTCTCCAAGATATCATAGAGTGGCCACAGGTAACACCCAATGTGGTACTGTTACTATTGTGTCATGAAAGCTGATTGGCATCCTTGTGGCACTTGTGATTGTAGACATATTGGTATCATGCAATCTCAAAGTACTTCAAGATAGCTACAGAGAGGTCCTCCAATTTATTGGGGATTTATGCGATTTTCTTGGGCCCAAATCAGTAGGTTTTGTCCTCAGAATGAATATTGTGCGCATTTTTGACTGCTTTTTCGAAGTCACATGACCAATGACGTGGGGTCGCAGCAGTTGCAGCGAAATAAGGTAGCGTAAGAAACTCGGAGAGGGTATCTTACCAGTAGGTAAGTAACTACCCTAGGGTGTAAGTTTTCTACATATGTTTCTTACCGTAAGTAACACGTATCACGTGATCTAGGGATGCACTACGCAGGGGCCGCTGTGAGTGTGTCGCCGGCTGCTTCTATATGGGAAGAGGTTAAAGAACCAATGCTATGCATCGATTGATTGCGATAGAAGCCTACACATCACTATCAAACTCCCATTCAACCTCGCTGCCTTCATCTGAGCCAGCACGGTCATCCCCCGACTCACTCCCTGTCGCTTTCTCAGCCTTGTCCCCGTCTGTCTGTCTGTGCTGTACATCTGACTGGTCAGGCCCATCGCTAGAGAGCAAGTCGCGCAGGATCGAAGACTCGAGGTTAATGTACGCCTCGACTGCGAAAATATCGGTGGTGCCGCAATGATTGACATCCTCATCAAGCCACACCGACTGGCCATCTGGGTCATCAATGTCCTCGTCTTCGTCATCCGGTTCAATCGCTGGAACCCTTGCTTGCGACGCGGATCGCTTCTCGCCTTGGCGAAGCGACATATCATCACGCAAAGTGCTGTCCAGCTCGTAAAACTTCTTGGCTGAGATCGTTGATACTTTCGCGCGTGGCTGGAGGCGATAGAATGAGTAGGGCGTAACACGGAAGATGAGGTACGCCACCTTTGTTACATGATAGTATTGCTGGATTTGTGACTGTGACACCATAGCTTGCAGGCTCATCCGGTTTCGTACAGGACTATTGAGCCGCGTGAAGAGCGATGCAGTATGTTCATCTGGCATTGAGTTGGGCATGATGGAGTATAATTTGATGGCGAGAATCTGTAACAATGGGCAGCATCAGCACAGTTGAGCTACAAATGAACGGCCCGACAAACCGCAAGAATGTCAGCCTGAGGCGTGCGTTGCAAAATGGTCCACCACTCCAAGGTGGTTTGGCCTTCCTCGCATGGAACAATGCTAAATGGTGCCCCATTCTGTGCGTATGCTGAGAATTGGCTCTTGAATCGTTTCTGGAGTCGCTTGCGCTGTTTCTTAGGTACATGTAGAACCGGATTTTCGCCATGTTCCACCTCGGCTTGAAGGAGGGCCATCAAGTAGTGACCCATGCGCTTGAAGATGTCCCGGTGCATGATCCGAGGTGCCTGCTTCGAGGAACTGCTCTTCGACGATGATGATCCGGCTTCGGTACGCTTGAATAGGTCGGAATTGAGGTAAGCTGCCAATGTAAATTTAATTTCTCAGCACACAGTTAATCAGTGTGGCGCCACTCACTCAGATTGAGATATACTGCAGACAGATGTGCGTTGGTAGGTCCATCCTCAAACATTTCCACCCAGCGCGTATTGAGGATTGCACGGAGCTCTCCCTTCACAATATCTGGGATACCCGAGGCTCTCTGTGCAAGCACTTGTTTTGATGACACTGCGATTCCACACCAGTAGATGAAAACATCAGCAATGGTCATCTGGGTTGACTCGAGGCAGACGATCGTCTTTGCATAAGGCAGACCCACGCTCAATAGTTGATTGAGCTGGGTTTCGAACGCTAATGTTGATGGTGAGTCGCGCACAAAGCATTCGTGCATTTCCTGACCGAGTTGTTAGTTAGTGACAGAAAGCTCGATTGGAACCGAAACAACCATCAGTACGTACCTCCACAGTAATTTTACCACTCGAACAGCCCTCACGAAGTGCAGGAAGGCACCGCCGCATTGCCACAGAGGCTCGGATTATCATTGCAAAGTGTGTCTTCCCGATCTTCTCAAGCCCGCGGGGTATCGTGAGACGTTCACGGATGACAGCCAACTCTTCAGCAGATTGGTCTGACTTCGAGAAGAACTGTAAGGTGCGTCGTATGGTTGCAATGACGTCTTTGAAAAACAGCAACTTGCAGATATTCTTGATTGGGAGGTTCGTATGATGCACTGGGTCTGGTAAGTTCACCATTGTCGGAATCGTCGCGCACAGATAGCACCAGCATGCTTTGGTATTCCCAGTGCTGTCAGACGACGCAGCGCTGAAGCGTCCTCGACCAATCACGTCAATGACTTGCTGTAAAGCGGACTCGTGAGCAACAAATGGTACGTGTAATCAGTGATTGTACCTTGAGAATGCTCTGTGCTAACCAGTCAGCTGTATGCCGTACCCGGCTGCCTGCAATAGTGTCCACAAGAAACGCCCGCTGATTGGGCGCAGGCGTGGTGACGTGTACCATATAGAAGGATTGATGGTGTTTGTTTGCCCCGCCATCGTACGTCACAGTGAGGTTGGTCTGAGTGCGGAGATATTTGAACTATAGGTGCCGCACATGTTCTGCCTCCTGTGGGATCTGGGTCTCCTCGAGCGTGCTACGTGAAACAGGTACATATTTTGTGTTCCCTATGTCCCAGACGTGTTTCCACGTCTCGGAATCAACCACTGATGGAGGGATTCCATTGCAGCATATGAATTTCAGGATCACAGGGTCAAGCTGAGCCTTCAGCCAAGCACGTCCTGACTTCCCAGCCAAGACATCAAGGGTTGTCTGACCAGACTTGGTGCGAGCCCCCGGGGGCACGCTGACGGTGGTTACGGATTGGGAGGGTGCCTGTATGGCTGCGAAGGCCATGGATTGACTCAAGGCTGGTAGGTGAGTGGTGCCACCCGCTACCTCGGCGCCGTTCTGACCCAATTCGGCCACCAGACGATCCAGCTTTGCACTCGGGGCATTTTGGCTACTTGCTCTTGACGCCTCAGATCGTAGCTCCGATGACAGTAGGAGACAGCGGCTCGCATGTGCAAGGACCCGACCACTTGTACGGCCTGACCATTTTCGTTCGCAGCCACGGCCAATACAGCCGTAGCGCTTCTTGCGATCAGCGGACGGACTCAGCGTGCGTGTGAGTCGGTCAAGGAGCGGTTTATGTGGGCGTCCTGTCCTGTTTGCGGGTGGTATGGCCATGCTAACGTTGCTTCCTTCAGATCCAGAATCATTTGGTGATGAGGTGATATCGTGGAGAATGTCCTTTGGGTTTGGCACAAACCCAAGTCGGCACTGCTTCTGTATAACCCTCGTCACTCAGATTGCTCCCCGGACACAGTG